GGCGGGGGCCGCTCGGCGCCTGAGGTGTAGCCACTGGTGACGGAGATGGAACGGGTGCGGCGCTGCAGGCCCTGGATCACCTTGTTCGCATTGAGCAGCTGTGCCTTGAGGTCCTGGATGTGCTGGTGCAAGGCCCCCACATCTGCTAAGGCCATGGCTTTCTGGGCAGCCTTACTTGCTCTGGGCATACCTGGCTGGCACAAGGACCCCAGCTCCTCACCCAGGCTAGGCTCGCTGAATACGTCTGGCTCCTCACACTCTGCAAAGGGTACAGGGCACAGTGTCACTTCTCTGCACTGGGTGAATAAGGCACAATGATCCCCAGAGCCTCGGCTTTCCTTACCAGGGCTGGTGGTCTCATCCCGGTCAGCTTCGGTCTCACTTCGCCCGCATGTCTCGTAGCCCAGGTCCTGGAAGTCCACCTGCACTTGCTTGCTGAGCTGCTGGGCATGGGGTTCACCTGCTGGGCAGCACTGTCAGCTCAGGGTTCCCCTGTCCAGACAGGATTCACCACCCCTTCCCCATGTACAGCACGGTGCATAGGGCATGCCAGGCTTGGCACAGACCCCCTGTCCCACCCAGGGTTTTAACTCACGGAGCAGGACGTGGTACTTCTCCAGCTGCTTGGCTTGTGCTCGCACGGTGGCCGCCGAGGCGGCGAGCTTGTCCTGCAGCTCTTGACACTGCCTTTGTCCCTGTGCCACCTGGGAGCGCAGCTCTGTACCTAGCGCAGGCCAGCTCCCACCGGGGACCGTGCCCTCCACCTTCCAGAGGGGAGACAGACTGTGAGCTCTCCCTCTCCATCGCCACCTCTATCTTCATTCCTGTCGCTGTTCCCTGTGCTCAGGGCACTTACAGAACTCCTGTCCCCTCTGCCTGGGGTGCCAGGGCAGGGTCTCTTAGGCATGTCATCTTGGGATCGTGCCTCAAGCGCTGGACGTTTGGTGGGTACAGCTCCCCTCTCAGCTGGGACCCCCTGTCCATCCCCACTACTGGCAGCTGGGCAGTCCCCAAGGGTGCTGCGGCTCTTCCGCTGCAGCCTGCAGGGCTCAGGGGCCAGGGGGCCACCCAGCCCAGCCTCCTCCTGCTCCCCACTCTCCAGCAGTGATGTGGCTTCACCCATCCGCTCCTTCAGCTCTGCATTCTCGAGGTAAAGGCTCAGCATGGCCTTCCTGGGGGCACAAGGCACTGTGAAGGGCAGGCAGCAGCAGGGATGCAGGATACCCCCTCAAGCCACTGCCACCCAATGGCTCAAATATTCCAGGGCTCTTGCCTGATGTGGGAGACAGAAGAGAAGCCGGCTTCCTCCAGCTGCGCCTTCAGCTCCCGCAGCTCCTCTTCCGCCCGCAGCTCCCTCTCTGGCACAGTGCATGCTGTGGTCCCCATCAGGGTTGTGTCAGCGCCCCTGCTTTCCTTACGGGTCTGGGGGCTGCTCTAGAGGGACAAAGACAGAGGGTGACAGGGATGTTTCTGAAGGGGTGAGGACACCGTCCAGCAGTGGCACGGTGCCCAATTCTGCCACCTGTGCTCCCTGTGCCACACTGCCCTGACTCACGTGCTGGGTTGCCAAGCTGTGGGCTGCCTCCTCCTTGATGCTGTAGGTAAAGTTGGTGCTGACATCATCACTGTCTGTGCCTGTGGCCTGACCTATGGACAGCACAGCACAAGAAGACACTCAAAGTAGTGCCAATGGCAGCACTGCCTCTGTCCCCTCCTCCTAGTGATGCCCATGGCCACTGTAGGCAGCACCAGGGCAGGTGCCACCTCCCACACATGCCTGGTGCTGGGGCAGGACTGAGGTCTCTCCACTGCCCATGTGCCACCCTTTCTCTGCATGCTGGAGCTCCAACCCAGCACCTTGTGCTGGCCCAGCACACATGCATACATGCCACCCACCCTGCAGCCACTTCACAAGCCACAGCCAGCAGCAGCATGTACTCTGTCAGGAAGGCTCACTGGCACTGCTCTAGCCTGGCAGAAATGTGGGGTGCACCCACATGATCACCTTCAGGGGCAGCTCAGAGAGGGCATGAACAGCCACCTTGCCCATGTCACCCAAGCTCTGCTGTCATGCATGGCACTGGGCTCTTTGCAAGCCCTACAGAACTGCAGCAAAGCTAAAAGGACACTTGCATCCCATACCACAACACATGGGGGACTTAAGCACACCCTGCCCCACAGAGCTGCATTGAGGTCATGTGTTTCTGCTTGCACACAGCTCTGCTCCTAGCCCCTCTGTACAGAGCCTTGCACCCCTTGTCCAGGCAGCTTTCCTCCCATCCAACCGCGAGCCCTGCCTGCTCTGTGACATGGGTGTACCCCTACTCCGTCTTCTCCCAGTGGAGATAGGAGCTCTCACAGATCCCAAGACCAGCCCCTGGGGCTGTGCAGGACCAAGTTTCACAGCCTGTAGCCTGTGGGAGATGCAGCTGCTTTGGATGTGGCAGGTCTGGAGCTCCCAGGCAAGGCTGAACACAGAGTAGAGGAATGCAGAGAAGTGCTGGCAGGAGAGCCAAACATTGCTGGTGAAGGAAAAACCAGGAGGGATGCACACAGCTCCTGGGAGGGAGAGCTGAGTACCAGCTAGGAGCACATCAGCAGCAGGGCAGGTGACTGCACAGCACACTGTGCACACAGACAGTGGCATGTTCAGAAGATCCACTAGTGACAATCAACTGCAGGGAGGCTGCAAAAGTCAGGGTGTCTCACTGCTGAGCCTGGGCAGACATCACCCCGTATGGTGGAGCACATGCCACCACAGCAACCATGCCCCAGGGAGCAAGGACAGACATCACAGAGAAGCGCTGTGCCAGGAGAAAAATGCGTAGACATCTGGAAGTGGCAGCTCCCACGAGTGGCATTCAGCATAGACAAGGTGCAGCCCTGTGAGTCCCCACGCACACAACCTGCTGGGTGCAAATCATCGAGGACTACAGCTCAATGCCTGCAGGGTCCTGGAGAGTGAGAGAATGCAGCCCTTCAGCTGCAGGCATTGCTGGGGGCTGAGAGCCATGAGCACATGGGTCTCAAGCTGGGTCACCACGGCTGAGAGACCAGAGCAGGGTGGCTCACAGTCCACACCACTGCTCTGGGGACATCGGAAAATCACCTCTTGTGTCACCACACAGCACGCCACTTCTCACCCAGAGCTCTGCAAAGCTCCCAGTGCACCAGGACTGTGGCAGAAAACAGGAGAGCAAAGTCCAAGGAAAAACAGCAACAGGGGAAGAAGAGCAGAAGAGAAAGCTGGCGCTGGGGGAGCAGTGAAGTGGACATATATGGCAGTCTGTGCACAGGCTACTGTTCACCAAGTGCTTGAACCCTCCATCACAACAGGAGCACACCAGGGTGGGTGCAAATTCAGGGGCTGCTCAGCTCTCTGAATATTACCGGCAAAGGAGGCAGAAGATGCAACCCCAGCACTATTTTTCACAGCCTCCTCTGCCTTTCACGTCAAACCTGAAGGCAAAGAGAATTAGCTGCATGGCTTGAGAATTAGAATCGTAGAATGGTTAGGGTTGGAAAGGACCTTAAGATCATCTAGTTCCAACCCCCCTGCCATGGGCAGGGACATGTCGCACTAAACCATGTCACGCAAGGCTCTGTCCAACCTGGCCTTGAGCACCGCCTTCGGCAACCCATTCCAGTGCCTCACCTCCCTCACTGTAAAGAACTTCTTCCTTATATCTAATGTAAACTTCCCCTGTTTAAGTTTGAACCCGTTACCTCTTGTCCTACCACTACAGTCCCTAATGAAGAGTCTCTTTCCAGCATTCTTATAGGTCCCCTTCAATTGCACAAGGCCCACAGGCTACCCAGGTGCACTGGCTGCGCTGGAAGTCTTCACAGTATTGGGAACAAGGGAAGAGAAACAAGGCCCACAGGGAAATTGAGAGAGGAAGGTAAGACCTCCACAAAGAGCTACGAGACAGAACAAAGCACTATGCGGTTTGACAGAGAGTGGTCTCAGGCTGGTCCTCCCACAGAGCAGAGGAGTGCACAGCCAGAGGTATAGGGGATGAAAGAAGGCCCTAAGAAACAGAACAGTGGGAACGCCTCAGCCTAGGATAATGCTTCCCTCCGGGGCACTTTACAGCAATGATGCTAACAGAGGCCAGGGACAGATCTGCAGCAAAACACACATAAGAAGAGATGGGAGCTGCCAGAGCACCAGTCAAGACTTCCCTCATGCCCTACTAATGAGTCTGTGCTGGGTCCTGGGCTCCATGGTACCCAAGGGACCAGGCAGCAAGTTGGGCATCAGAGCCAGGATGGAGAAGGAAAGGTGGAAAGACTAAGGACAGGGACACAAAGGCTCCTACAAAGTGAAAGGCAGAAGGAGAGTGAGATGGTGCTGAACAGAGAACTGAGAGGAAAGGAATGAGACAAAACACAAGAAAGGAAAAGCTAACCAAGTACCAGAGGTGCCAGCAGCCACCATCTGCATGCGTTCATCCCTTCATACCATGAGAGTTGCTGAACTCACCATGCACTAGGTGCAGACCCAGAGGAGCAGCACTGACCTGCTGTGTGTGAAGGGAGAGCTGTGCTGCCTCCTATCCCCACCTGAAGCATGGAAGAGACCTCAGCACAGGTGCAAGACATGGGATAGGTGGTGCCACGTGAAGCAGTCACAGGTCCAGGTGACAGCCCAGTAAGACAGAGCTCTTCTGCTGTGCCACCACCTCTTAAGTTTTCAGCTCCCCCATCAAGCAGAAACAGATGCTCAGAGGCACAAAATACACTCCTGCCACCTTGGGAAGTGATTAAGTAGGAGAGCTAATCCATAGCCCGTTGCACATGGGAAGCACTGGTCACTGGAAAGCTGCTGCTATTGTTTTTCAGCTCTCACACCAGCCTAAACACTCCCAGAGGAGTGAAAGATGCCCTAGACAAGGCATGTAGTGCTTCCAAGCAGGACTGTCCCCAGTAAAGCAGGAATAGGGTCCTGCCCATTGACCAAGGGGCACATGGAGCCTGTAGGTGAGATGTGTGCATACAAGCAATGGAGCAGACACAGCCCAGACTGTGGGAGCAGGGACAGGTCTCGGTCATGCAAAACCATCTGTTGAAAAGAAGAGGAAGCTCTCCCTTGAAGGCACTCATAGCCTGGGCTGAGACGGCTTACAATTTGGGGGTGGGGGTGGCGGGAAGAGTCAGTAAAATCATCAATACTGGACTAGGATTTGGTTTATGCATAAAATGAATTGTTAGTTCCACGCTCAAGACTTGTGCAAGAGTCACAGGCAAGTGCCACCAGGTCTTGTGGCCCTTCTCAAATTCTCTGGCTCTGGAACCCACTTTTCGACATACACCTTCTCTTTTCGGACCAGCCACCATCAACCCAGAGGGGGATGTCACTGAGTAAGAAAAATGGTAGGGGAATACAAAAACTCACACTCATGCACTTGGGAGATGATAGAGAACATCTGGTGTTTTCTTCAGAGAAAGGGAATCTTTATTTGGCCCATGGGGATGGGAGAAGAAGGGAGGTACGAGGGAAATTAGCTAAAATGGAATGATTTGAATGTGCAAATACATTAGTGGCCACCAGGGTGGGTCAGACAGGAACGTACACAAGACACAGGTGGATTGCACTGATTGCCATTTCCAAAGCAGCTCAAAACTAAAACAAAGAAGCCCTGCACCAGTTCTATCATACCATGACTAAGTACCACAGCCACCCTCCCAGAGTCAGTGAGACAGGCGCTCGATTAGTGAACCGTTTCCGTGGCAGGCGGCTGAGCACCAGTGCTCAGAAGGCATGCTGGGGTAGGACTCTCACACGCTCCTGTTCCCCACCTCCTATGGTGCCCTGTGTCTCCAGCCTGCTCAAACATTCCAAGCTTCTTCCAAGAGCTTCTTCCAGCTGTCCCCGGAGCTCATGGACCCCTTCCAGCTCCACCTGCAGAGTTTGGTCTCTCGCAGCGCTAACCAGACACATCATACAAAAGGGAAGAGCATTAGACAGGCTGTAGCAAGTACAAACCAAACCGGCCCCTCCATCCAGGATTGGCACTTACTCCAGGCACAGGCCCTGCATGCTCCCCAGCCAGCCCAGCCATCTCTTGCCTCACCTTTAAACCTCCTCAGAGCACAGCCATCCCCAAAAAAGGCTTCAGTCCATGGTAGGGGACTCCTAGTTACAGCTGTTCTTCAGTACTTACCCAAGCACCCCACTTATGTGTTCTCTTGCTATCAGGTAGCTCAAATATCCCAGAGGCTGCAGCCTCATGCAAGGCAGGGGATTAGTTGGGAAGACAGAGAATGCCCTGCGGGGCTGCAGCCTGGATAAGCACCTAGATAGATCCTTAACAACCCAACAGTTGGTTGGGAATTTCACAGCAGCCTCTGAAAGGTGGCCAAGTGTGGGTGGGAAACTGAGCTGGGAAGGGATAAACTAAGGAACAAAGATGGAAATCTCAAGGCCTGAACATGAGCTGGCAAAGGGTGGAGTTTATGCAGCATTTAAAGCTGGCCACTGCAGCCTTTTCAAGGGAAGAAGGCAGCCAAAAACTTGGACTCCCAAAGCTGCATTTGTCTGGTTCTTTGCCTAGACTCCCTCTTTTCCACTGAAGGCTCTCAGACTCGCAGAACTGCTTTGGGGATTGCCCCCTTGGATGACCCAGACCTGTTCCAGCAGCAAAGCAGGGCAGCATGGAGCTATGGCAGCCCCACTTACCTGTCCGGGTGTGTGTGAAACTTTACCAGGCTGCCATAGAGCTGCCTCTCTGCCTGGAGAGCCTCATTTAACCGATTTCTCTCAGCCACCAGCCCTTCCAGCATCAGTAACAACTGGTTGGAGAGAAAAGACAAGATGCAACACTTCAGAAACTAGAGAGACAGAAATCAAAAGAGGCATCTGGTTGCCCCAGCAAAACAGGGGCTTCCCTTCCTCTCTTGCTTGTGTCCAAGTGATCAAGTTGATCAGTGTCACTCCTGGAATCCCAAAAGACGCTTCCCTTGAAACAAGTGCTAAAGTGAACCAATCCTCTCCTCTGTACTCCCCCTGCAGCAGACAGCTATCTTCCAAAAACAAGCACACCTCAGCATAGCCAAAGGCTGAAAACAAAGCCTCATAACTGAGCACCAGCAGAAACGCAACACATCTGAAGCTCACCGCACATGGCACACTACCTGCTGCCTTCTGTTTCCAGTAGCCTCCTGTCCTCGCGACTCTGCTATGGCCACTTTCTCCCGAAGCACTAGCACTTCTTGTGTCAGCCTTTCCATGGCTGGAATTTCTTCAGGATCCACCAGCTGCATCTGAAGATCCTGAAAACCAACAGCAGGAGAACTCAGTGAAGAAGGAATCAATTACAAGGACAGCTGGACCTACGTAACCCTCCCTGGAACACAACTGCCAAAAGTTCCCAGTGTTTGGAAAGACGCAGGTCTCCTAAAAAAAAAAAAAAAAAAAATGCCAAAGCACCCAGAGTGTATTAGGCACAGCCAACAGCCTGGAGCAGAAACCGAGAAGGGACATGCACACCATTTAAAGGACTCTCAAAGAAAGGTGTTTGGTACACAAAGAGCAAAAAGCCAAGTAACAGCGCTCTGGGGGTTTGGGGCCTTTGCCTTCTGGCCACAGTAACACAGATAGTTGTAGGCAAACTGGCAGTAATACCATCCATAGACAGTCAGCCACGTTAGTCTCAGGATGTGGGGAAAAGAGAGACTGCTCTGAGCCTTCCCAGTCAGAACTGACCCAGCACAGTGCATTATCTCACCTTGATGAGGTCCTCTTTGATCTGAATGGTCCTGGTCAAGGACTCGATATCTGAGGCCTGCACCTGCAGCTCTTCCTCCTGTGTGGCCACAACAGACTGGAGAGCAGTGAGCTCTCGCTAGGGAAGGAAGAGAAGTCCATGAGAGACTTCAGAAAGCAAACATCCCACTGCGAGCTGCTGCCCCATTTCTCTCACTGGGAGTACCCTCACAATAGAAGGGGGTCCAAAACCTCCAGTGACAGGCAACCAATTGATCTTCTGTAAGCAAGAGAGATCAACACAGGTTCCATCACAAGCTCACCCTGCTTTCTCTTTCCTTCTTTGCCATTAGCTCCAGCTCCTCTTTGGTATCAACAAGATCCTTCTCCAGTTCTGCTGCTGACATTGTAACTGCAAAGACAGCTTCGTTACTGCAGGGACAGCATGCATCAGCTCTGACCCCAGGATCAGACAGAATCCCTCTTCAGTAAGATAGGTCTGCAATGCTTGTGCTGCCTATCACACTGCCTCTTGGTTAACACTTTTCTTCCCTGCTTGATCCTTAAACAGCAACCCCAAGCAATAGCAATATCCCTGGCCTGCTGTCCCACCCCTGGCAAATTCGGATGTCCTGGCCCCAAGGCAAAACCCAAACCAGTTGCACTTGTCTCACCCAGCCTGAACCATAAAGTCAAAAGCCTTTCACTGGATGGCATCAGCTCTTGAGCAGAAGCACCTCATCTCAAACCCAACAACAGCCTTTCCTATACTCCCATCCCTAGACACCCCTGACCCATCACTCAATGGGGAAGCACAGCTTTATTTCAAAATACTCACTCTTGCTCAAAGGTCTTCAATCTCTCACAGTTTCATGTAACCATGATTCCCTCACACCAAGCAGCCCTGGTCATGTTTGGGGGACATTGAAAGAAGCTGTCAACACACTCACCTCCCTCTGTCCTGCAGCTGCTGTCCCCCTGTGGGAGTTCAGCAATGGCTGTAGCTTCACAAGCTCCTTGCAGTATTTCCTGAAAACACAAAAGCCTCCATGTTTGCACCTTTATGGGGAAGCTGGCATTTGCAGCTTCCCCAGAGCTCCAGGACTTCAGCACAGCTGCTGGCTGCTTTGTTGGCATCTCTGAAATGTGAGAAACCAGTGAAGGGGATCTAGCCAAGCAGCGGGGACAAGTGAATTGCACACATACACCTAGAAGCTGTGTGCGTGGACAAAAGGGTGCTGGCCTTGTTTTACTTGGCACTGGGAAGTTGCTGGCAGCGTATGTCTTCATGGTAAGGATTTAACAGGTTTTACTCAACTGCAGCAAGCCCACCTTTCAACTGAGATACAAAGACCTACATCTTCATGCAAGGATGTGGCCCAGAGGGACCATGCAGGAAGGAAAACAGAGAGCTTGGCCCATATACATGCCCCTGGAAGCCTCTAGAGCTTACTTTGACCCTGGCAATAGAAATGAGCAACCTGCTTGCAGCTGCTTAAAAACACTCAGCATGTCATCTCACCAATAAACCATTAACAGCTGCTCAAGTAGGAGCATGGCATATGTATAGCCTTGGAGTTGTGTTCAGCCTCAAAGGGGTTTTTAGCAGAGCTGTTTTAAAAATATCAACTCCAATTGTGGAAGCGACAGCAAACAGCCAGCAGGCTCTGCCAAGAATTAGTGGGACCTAAAATTAGCTCAGTTGTCCCCTCTAGAATGTGACAGTGGCAGGGAGGGGATTACAATACAGCGAGGCAGCCCAGCCCAAGGAAGGACTGGGTCAATGCTGGAAGGTCAGAGGCTGGATTTCTTTCATACTCTCATGTGCCCTAGAGACTCAAACACTGCCTAATCAAAATAAAAGGAAACACTGAGTGACAAAAACTGGTGGCATCAAGATCAGAACATCCAGGCAGTGTTTCTGCTCCTGAATTTCTTCTCTTTCTCCAACAGGAACTCTATTTCCTAATCTCACTTTGATTTCTATCATTCTATGCGGTGCTCCACTCTCTACCATCTCCTCTGGAGCAATCAGTTCTTTCTGGAGCACTGAGGCCACAGGCAGAGAAACACAGTACAAAATTCTTACTTGGATGGGCTGTTTGTCCTGCTTCAACAGCCTGGCACCAGCTGACTGGGTCCTGACAGGCTCCTTTCCCAATACATGCTGGCGCAGAAGTTGTAACTCAGAGCTCCTTTCAGCCAAAGCATGCACCATCTTCTCAGCAGCCACCTGATTAAGCAGGAAAACCAGGGAAAGGGTAGGATCGCTGTCCCTCACCTTTCTTAGAGACTAAGACAAACTATCTTAGTGTTTATCTGTCACTTGAGAGTGGAAGTGGTCTGCGAATCAACTTGGGAGCTACTGGTCCTGGCCAGCCACAGCAACTCCACTGTAGCCCTCCCATCTCTACTTGCCAGACAGCTGCAGCAAGGCTCAGTCTCTCTGCCTACAGAAGAACAAGCTCCTCGGCTTCTCACAGTTCAGGACAGGAGAAAGCTAGAGGATAAACAACGAGGAGGAGGCAGTGCCTGGCCTTTTAGCCCCCTAGCCCCTTTTAATCGAAGGAAACTCAGTGCAAAGTATCTTGAGTAACACTGAACTGCACCCAGTGTGCAAGAGTAGGCAGAGTAGGAACTGTGGCTCTTTAAATAGCATTTACTTGCCCAGGACCATGCACTGGTTTGACTAACATTTAAGTTAAAAGGCAATGAGCAGAGCTTCCTCAGACTTCTGCACTACACAAGAAACAGCTGAGTGTCCTCCTTCCTAGTCTGGCAACACCCACATGTAGCAGCAACCCTCCCACCGCCCCTCTGCTGCCCCAAGCCCAGGAGCATGGCTATCTAGGAGGGTCTGCACCTCCTTCCTTAACACACACACAAACCCTGCCTCATTCACCTAATGACAGAATCCTGACACCTGACACTACAGGAGCTGCTGCTTCATAACTGCTCCAATGCAATGGGTTAGGACCAACCTAGAAATGACTCATAGCATCTCACATGGTTCTTCAACACTCAGCAGCTCAAACAGGCTACATCAACAGCAGCCAGAGAGCAGCTTCTATTTGTTTAATGCAAGGCAGGGTCATCCAACCCCCACTTCCCTCCTGCAGCACAGCACACAACTCACTCTGCTCTGCTGCTCCTTGGTGCTCACAGCCTGCAGCAGCTCCCGGATTTCAGCATCATGCTCCATGGTCTGACGGTTCCTGTCGCTGAGAAGATCCTGCAGCATTTTCTCCTTGTGCTGGAGACGCAAGCACAGCTCCTCTGCTACCTTACTCTGTCCTGGGCCCAGCTTGCACAGCAGAGTTGCTGTAAGCTCCTGAAGAAGGGAGAGGAAGGGAGAGATGGAGAGACATGGCTACCACCAAACTGCAAGCTGTTCAAGGACAAACAGCTCTTCAGCCTGGGTGTAGCTGTGAGAGAAGCATCTCGGCAAGCACACGTATTTACAGGTGTCAAAAGCAGCCAGCTTCCAAAGCACTAGGCACAGGTTCAAGTGTCCTCCTAAGAGGCAGGCAGCCAGGAGTCTCTGGTTTGGGATCACTCTCTTTGCAGACAAACTGGCTGAAGGCTCAGGAAGCAAAGCTAAGGCCTTACCTCTACTTCCTTGTTCCTGTCATGCAGGCAGGTCTGCAGCTGTTGGATGATCCCCTCCTGCTCCTTCTGCCTGCTGCAGGATTTGGCCTCTATCTCTTCCTTGAGCCAGCGAAGGTTTTGGCAGGTTGCTGAGACCTGCTCCAGTTCCAGGGATTTGGCTTTCAGGAGGCTCTCCAGACTCTGGGGACCACAACAGAAGCAGCTCAATCAGGGACAGAGACTTTATCCTGAATTAAACAGAACTGGAAATACCAGTCTCTCCTGCTAGTGGAGTCATACAGATTCACCCCATCCTCTCCAGACACCACGCTCACCTCTACGCCCAACGTAAGAACACGAGTGACACAGGTACTTGCCCTGCACACAAGGCCGGAGGAAGGCCAACACCCTGCAGCAGCTCTCCCCAGCAACATCCAGAACATTCACAGGAAGGTCTGTCCAGCACCACACCACAGCCAAGCTGGACTCTGCATGCCCAGGTACAAGCACTCACATGAATGGTGGCCTGGTTGCTAGACAGGACATTGCGCAGCCTCTCCAGGTCAGTTCCACGCTCCCTTATCGAGAGACGGAGCTGTTGCAGCTCTTGCTCTTTCTTCTCCAGGGCACAGAATTTCTCATCTACTGCTCGCTAGGGTGAGAGGGGGTGATTGTTCAGAATGGGGTATTAAGGCCCTGCAGCCTACCACTCACTGTGTGGGACACATCAGCTCTCCCTTTCAGAGGGCTCTTCTGGAAGGCTGAGCCACTAAGAGTATGTAGAAGACATGGTCACCCCTGGGGCTCCACCACCAATGAGAGCCCAAAGCCTGAGCCTCACATCACTGTGCTCACCTCCAGAGCAGCATCCCTGTCACTGACTCGCTGCTGCAGTTTCTCCAGCATGGCATTCATGACTGCAGGGCTCTTGTCCAAGGTTTGCTGGCATTGCAGAAGCTCCCTCGATTCCTAGAGGTGACACACATACACCCCTAATACAACTGTCAGGCCAGAAACCCCCAGAGAACAGCACAGGAGAATCAGTTGCTCTACACTTGCTCTAACCTCCAACATTAAAGGGTGGTAAAATTGTAGCACCTGGGGCTGGTTGACTAGTGCTGGACAAGGCTCACCAGGCATCACTGAGGTACTCAGATATTTGTGCCTTCTTCCAGGTCTTGGGAGCCCAGAAGTATCTCTTGTCTTCTTCAAAGTGCACACATGAAGACTACAGACTCTTGCATCACCAAATACCAAAGGAGGAGGGGCCCTGGTTAGTTATGTTCAACTTGAGTATTTCTGCATCTCACCTGCAGAAGCTGCTCCTTGCGAGCCAGGTGCTGACTCAAATGCTGAACTCTCTGCTCCTGGGCCTGCAGCTCACTGCACTTCTCCCACTCCACGTTCTGGAGCTGGTGAGCCTTGTTCTGAAGTTCTGCCTGCAGCTGCTGTACCACAGTACGCAGCTCCTGCAAGGGAAAAGCATACACCCTGGCAGTCAGTCCTCAAGAGTAAAATAGCCCAAACTGGTCTGCAACACTGCAGTTTTCACATCTCGAAATGCACTTCCACAGTGATGAATCTTTTTTTTTTTTTTTCCATTTCCCAGGATATCTCTCCATCTCAACACCTTGCTTAGGCCACAGCAGAGCTTTACAGTCAATCACAGCTAACCTGCGCAGCAGTGGACATGAACTTTCTAACATCACAAAAAGAGATGGAACATTTGCACCAGCCAAAGCCATGCAAGTAACAACATACTCACTACCAAGTATCTTTGCCAATTCTAAATCCCTAGATATGAAGCTAAGAAGGCTGGAGAATTCTCTCTGCCATATGTGACAAGGGGCTGGCCATGTCTGCCAGCCTGGTGTAGGCAGAAATGATGAATGAGAACAGAGTACTGACTAGATCAGTGCTTCTTAAGTCACGTAAACCCAGAGACTTCCAGGCTAAGTGCTGCCTTATTACCTGGTTATGTTTCCAGGCTGCCTCTTTCTGCTGCTCTTCCTCACACACCACGGTCTCTAGGAGCTGGGCTGCTCTCTTGGCTTCAGCCAGTTGATGCTCTTTCTGGCGCTGAGCTCTTTTCAGTTTCTGCACCTCCAACTTGGTGCAGAAAAGCGTGTTCTGAAGATCTAGCAGTGACATCTGCTGCTCCTGCAGTGAGAGTGGGCTCTCCGACATCTAACAAGAGCAGGAAGCAGAGAACTCACAGATCCACTTCTCAAGAGGAATTTAAAAACCAGGATCCCCGCAGAACAAAACCTGATATATTTGAGGATTTCCAGGGACATACCTGCAACTGTCCCAGATGACTTCTGTGTAACATGTCCTGCAGCTTGGCCATTGTCTCATTCTGCCCTTCAATGATATGGTAAAGCTCTTCTGTCTACAAATCAAAGGATAAGAAGCAGAGTCATTGGCAAACCAAGCACAAACCCTCCTGTCCGAAGCCTCCAGCAGGGATTATGACATAAGCATCACACAAAAGAGCTTTACAATAAATAATTTAATGAGCTCCAGGATACCCAGCAATAGTTTAAGTATTCCTTTTCAGCCGCTGCCCACAGGGCTGACACACTTTACTCTTTCAGTGAGCACCACCATGTCCACCCAGAACTATTACCTTGCTCTCTTTGCTCTTCAGGGCCTCATTCAGACTCTGGATTGTACGATCTTGCCTCTGCGATGTTTCTTGGGCAGAATTTAATTGAAAATTCAATTCATTCAGCTTTTCCTGTAACAGCTGAAGACAGAAATACGTTTGGGGTTTGTTTTTTATTTTTCTAATCCTGCCTAGTGCTCTACATAAGCACCCTTAAGCCTGCCTCTACTCCTTACTCAAGTCCATACAGCCCAGGTGTTCACCAGATCAAGATCAACGTGGCTCCCTCTAGAGTGTGCAAATACTGTGTGAGCTGGGTGGAGACCAGTGAGTAAACACAAAGCCTTCAGTCCCTCCACAAGACTGTTTCAGTGCTCTGGTCCCTCCAAGTGCAGGTCCCCCATTCAGGGCAGAGGTTCCAGGCTTGGGTTCACATACCATACTGCCTCCCACATATTCCAGGAGAGTCTTTCTGGGACTGCCCAGCAGCCTTCCCAGCTTCTGTCATATGTTTCTGTTCCTTTAAAAGGAAAGGGGCTGCTTCAGCCCAAAAACCTCCCAAGAGATCTTCAACATGAAGAAGCTACGCATTCAAAAAACTGTCCCCTTTACTTCTGAAGTCCTCCAGAGCATTGCAGATGCCCCTTTACAGTCTTCCTGCCCCTTCTCTTACTGTCTTCTTCGACTACTCAGGCACTCTTGTAGCATCTGCTAGTCTAGGTAATTCGACATTGGATCAGATCAGTGGCTTATTTAGACTCAAGTTCTGGCTTCAGCACAACAGAATCTAGCCAGTGCCAACACACCAACAGCACAGCTGCAAAGCAAAGGGGAACATTTCACTAGTCTCTGCAGCTGGTTTACAACCCAAGAAACTTCTACCTTTGGCATTTTCACCCCAAAGAGAGTACTATCTCAAACAGGTTTAGGACAGTTCTTTACTCTCTCCATAATGTTCATGAAGCAGCACACATTGTGCATTTAAAAAATTCCCAGTTAGCATTTCTAAATCCATTCTTAATCTTACATGATATACATCCCCCTCACTACTTACTCGAATCTCAATTTCTTAAGCAGTTGGTGCTGCAACATGATTTTCTCTTGAAGCTCATTAGTTTACACACCTGTCCTGTTACCTCTTCTCTACAAGACACTCCCCCTAACCTGTTTAAACACTCCCAACTGCATTTACTGGGTCTTGAGCTCCTGTTTCCCTGTTAACCATTGTGGTCCAGAGAGCTCCAACAGCTTACAGCCATCTCCAGATTTAAATAAAGATCCCATCCCAATACTTTTCTCCCATTTAACCCCTCTGTTTTCCCAGCAGGTATAACTTACCTTAGAGTTTAAAAGCATAACTAAGAACATCTACACCTTGCAACATGTGTTAAATCTGCTTTGCCTCAAGACAACTCAGATGCATGTTTCTTCCCTATGAAAGCCTTTAAATCAAAATGAAAACATGACCCTGCATCGATCTCCCTTACTCCTTGAAAAAAGGCAGCAGCTGCATCAAAAGGCAGGCACCCTTCTCTCCTGCACCAGGCTCTGCCCATACAAATCCAAGAGACAGAGAAATAGCTGTACGTACCTCTCCTTCAGAAGGCTCAGACAAGCGGGAAGTTCTACCAAAATAATGGTTTGCAAAAATAAACATGGAAAATTTACACAGCCCAACTGCAGAAAAAGGGTAAATGCTTTTAACTCGAGCTGGCAGACAACAACACCGAGAATCAACACACCCTTGCTGTATAGAGGTGCAGATGCCTGCCTCTGGCCAGGCTAGAAGGCACTCTCCAATACTATCTAAAACAGACTCAGTAGGCACTGGATTTGCTGTTCATGAAGAAATACCTTGTTGGCAGCTTCAACCTGCTGGATCTTGCCCTGCAGCTCTACAGCACTCAGATGGGATACATGCTCCCCTGCTGCAGGGGCGCCTGGAGCCGACTGCTGACATTCATCCTGCAAATTCTGAAAGAAAAGGGCAAGAAAATGGCTCAAATCTTGCACTGACTTCTTCTATTCAGCTACCAGTCTTCATATACCCTGCAGCATGGCTGTAAACATGCCCCACTGTGCTTTTCTAAATGTCTCCAAAACATTATGCTGCCCATGCCTCCCTTCACCTGGGTGGCAGGCTGGTACATAGCACAAGTGCCCTGCTGCCCCCAGGCTCTGGTTCCATCTCTCCTCGCTCCCACACAGCAAACCTAGCAGGTCATCTGGCTCTAACCACCACTGATGATGCTCTAACATCTGCTGATGACGGATACGCTCCCCCCACCCAAGCCATACCTCTGAAACCTCCCCATGTGCCTGGCTGGCAGCTTCAAAACCAGCACCAAACTACTTCCCATGTTCTGCCAAGCTTCTCTGTCTTAATCAAGCCCACAACCTTCAATCCTCCCCACCAGCTACCCTCCTGCCTTGCCCCAGCAGTCACTCCCTGCTCTGAACCCCTCTGCTCTGTGACTCTCTGGGCTCTCCTTTGCATCTCCCCATGCAACTGGGAGCAGCACCCATACCACGTGCAATTCCCTGCAGCTCCACAAACCATAGCCATTTCAGTGCCAGAGCTGCGGCTTGTTTCATGACACATACCTATTTATTGGGAATGGAAGCAGCTTACTTCCTGACGCGTAGCCTGCCAGACCCTGCTGGCTTAGCACACACTAATCTCTTGTCATGCCCTCTTACTATTTTGCTCCCTCCCTCCTAGTGAGCTGTTTTAACTCCTTAGAGCAGCATCCAAACCCAGCCACCTACCCCAGCTCTCAAAGGGCTCAATATTCCCAAATATCATCAGCAATATGAGATTGATTGTACTGGTGTCTCTTACAAGTGGAAGCCTCAGCAAGCACAGGGCTGCAATGCAGAGGCTACTGAGAACACAGCAGAGCTTATCAGAGCTCATGCAGAAGCACCAGCTCCAGGCAGCTCAGCACAGGGAAAACAACAGCCAGCTCTGATTAGCCCTGCCAGACTGAATCCTCATCTTCAGCAGCCACAGAAACACTGTCTTTGGGAAAGGCAGCGCATGGGAGCTCCCCCAGGCCTGTGCACTGCCTCTCACGCAGAAGCAATGCTTCCCTTTACCCTGATGTTTTGTTAAGATTTTAGTGAAAACTTAAAGTCATAGCAGGTAATTTCAAATACGCCCAACCAGAAGGTTTTGGATCAGACAGGGACAGTTGCTGGAATCTGGCACACAGATGGTTGATGAAAAGAAAATAGAAGAAAAATAATAATAAACAAAAAAAGAAAACACACCTTTCCTCACAATTTGCACATTCCAAAGAAAAAAGCAGAAAACACGCAAAAAGCTAAGAGCAGGGAAGGGAAAAGCAGAGCCAGCTCAAGAGTCCAAAGTTCCAAAGCACAAACTGCCTCCCCTGTGCTTCCCTGCAGTCACGTCAGGAGCACGGCTTCCCAGCGGTTTCTCCCACATCAGCATTTTACTGGCAGTTTCTCCTCAGTACAGCTCCAGCAATGCCAGCGCACATTAACCTACACAGAACACCTCTTTAAAAATAATATTCATGGCATTATCTAAGCTTGCCAAGCTCCCATTTACCCAGAGCAGGAGGTAAAAGACCAGATGCCAGTGCAGCAATGCCTCGCTCGCTGCCAACATGGCATCACAGGCAGCTGCAAGAGAGTGCCTGACAAAGGCTTGGTCTGGTGGCACGTTCCTGCAGCTGCAGTGGAGACAGGGAAGAACTGTTGGTTCAAGAAAATGCCCAGGACAACAGTACCTACAAGATCACATTCCCCGACACCAGACTGCTCTCAGTCATTGTAGCTTACAGCAGTAAGATTAAAGAATTGCAATTTCCCAAAAGCAGTAAGGGAACTGTGGTCCTATATAGTCTATATATTTCTTTCACATTATCACAAAGGCATTGATGCATTATGTATCACTAGACAGCAGGACCTGACTTTTAGAAAGAGTGCTCAAAGAGAAAGAAAAGACATTTACACAAGAACTATTTAGTCTAATAGCTGCACCCAACTTCTCAGTTTTGCTGTTAAAGTCACAGGAAGGATTAAGCCCCTTCCCCCTTCAGCCAGAATCTGCACCAAAGACCACAGCTGCTGCTGCTGCCACAGCAAAGAACAGGCAGTAAAAAATCCTGCAGGATGAATTCCTGTCAGGAATGATCAGATAGTAGAGGCTAGAGATCGCAGAAACTCCTCCATCACAGTCCCCAGATGAAGATGGCAGTGCATGACAGAGCTAAGTCATGAACGCACCATGCTGCCTGCACCATGCTGGCAGCAGAAAGCCTATTTTCATGCTGTAAATATATCTCAAGCAGTGAAAACTAGTAGAAGTGACACAGATCACAGGAGCAGCATCAACACCCAGCTCCACATCCTCAGCCACTGCCTGCCAGCACCATGCCTTTGTGCACCAGCTGAAAAATAGGTTTTCTACATTCCCCCCCCCCCAGCATCATTTCTTGAGCAGGCTTATGGAAACAACACACAGCTCTGGGAAACGCCTGGGCAGACAGGACAGCAAGCAGCACTGGCTGAATAGGAAACATTATCCAGTACAGCCACAGTTGCCATAGCAATAAACAAGCATTTTTCTAATCCCCCAGGCTACCTACAGCATTAGACAGCACTAAGGCTGCTAATGGCAATGCAATTAGGCTGACATGGATATTCCTGAATTGAAGCTGACTAAGGCCTTCTATTCATTAAGGAAAGTGGTAAAAGGAGTTACAAGTTCAGCTTTTTGACTGCATGCTAATGAAAATTTCATTAAAGCCAGCAAAGCAGAGGCAATCTGGAGCTGCATCAAGGACTACCATCAAGGTGGGTAACAGCACCAGGAAGTCCCTTGGAAGCGGGAGCTTTCATCAGCAACACCTGACACTAATTGGTGAGTCTTTTCAAAGGATCAGAAAACAAACCCATTATCTAGAATACCAACCCTAAAGTCATCCTCTGGCACAAATCCTCCTGTAAGGAAAACACCTTTTCCTCAGGGCATGTGCCACAGGTCCCTCTGTGGATTTGCACGTTAGGCAGGTTGGAGGCCTGATCTGCAGAGGCAGGGCTCTGGAGGCAGGCACTGCTCACACTAAACCATTATCCAGGCACAAAGAAAACACATTTGCTGGAAAACACATGCCCAGGAGCTTAAAACACTCCCTTTGGTTGCGGGCAAAAGTCACACTGACTTCTGAAAGAGAAAGCTGAAGTGAAACTGGTGTTTCCTCAGCAGAAAGATGACAAAGCACGCAAAGACCTTAGACCCACCTAGCAGGTGGCACTGAGAGAGAGAGCTGATGGGAGAGGGGAGGGTGTAATTTCCCAGAACACAAGGAGGAAAGAGATGACAGGAGAATGACAGCAGAGAGCGCAGCACACCTAAAAAGGACAGAGCTGCCTATTCTTAGCCCTGGGTTCAGGCACACGTGGCTATCTGTATTATCTCAGCACAGAATAATCCCCAGTAGGCTCATGTCAGGCCACACGGACACTGCTCAATAGAACAGCAGCACAATGACCTCTACCTGTACCCGCAGCGGCATATAATCCTCAAAGAGGTCATCCCACAGCTCCTGCAGTTCAGAAATCTCCAGGGAAACACCCAAAGGAGCTCTGGAAAAGGATTTTCTGTCTGCGTTCAGTAAGGCAGATCCAGCGCATCCTAAGCCAGCGGAAGCACTGCCATCTGCCAAATCACGGCTGAGCTTGGCAGAGGACAAGCTGGACTTCACAGGAATAGGTAGCCTGCTGCCTCGAGGACTCTGAAGGGGTTTGTAGTCCAAAGCCTTGATCAAACTGAGGGCCAGCTCCAGCCTGTTCCCACTCTGTGAAGAGCTTGGGGTCATGCGGTCATCTGAGAAGTCATCACACTTCCCATTCCCTTTCACCCCCTTATCTGCATCTTCATCCTTCTGCTGTGGAGGGCTTGCCTCCACGGTTGTGTCCAGGGACTCGACAGAGGATGCAGGTGTGCCTTCCTCCATGCTCTCCCCATCCACAGGCACTCTGGTGCTGGCAGACTCCACCACGTCACACACAGATGACTCCTCATTGCCCATGCTGGCTGACCACCGGCTGGACAGCCCGCAGGAGATGCTTCTGGCCACCTTTCGTGGCACTTTGCAAATTGCTTCATAGTCAGCATCGGCCACCCGCAGCGCGGCACAGCCACGGCAGCGCCGCGGGCGATTGCTCGCACCCTCTGAAGCATGGCAGCTGTGGGGCTCCAAGCTGTGCTCTTCTTGATCCGTCCAGTATTCATACCCCGAATAAGCAAAGTCCTCCTGAAGGAGGGCAGCATACCGTGCATCAGGCAGGTTAGAAAGGTCCACAGCCCCATCCCCAGCTCTGTCGTCTGAGCTAGGGTCTTCATTGTTCCTGCGGTACATGCTTGCGATGCAAAACTTGAGGCGGTCTTTTTCCAGCAGCAGTTTCTGCAGGCGCTCGATGGAGAGGGCTTCGATGCGCGCGATGACGGTGTCGAACCTGTAGATGCGGTCCAGCATGAAGGCACACTTGCTGCAAGCAAACTCGGATTTGCCATCCCGGCACAGCTCCCTGCCCAGGACGTGGGAGAGCAGCACCTGGAGGTTCAGCTTGGCCGCCGTGTGGAAGATCCATCGCCGCTGGTTGCCACACAGCTCTCGGGCACAGATCCTGCAGGTTTCCTTCATCCTCCCTCCTTCCCAGCACCCAAACCTACCGGGGCTCCCAAGAGACCTTCCTGAAGCCTCTACCACTCACGCATCTCCTGGGGTACGGGTCCCTCAAGCTTTGAGCCCACGGGCACTTCTCACCCCATCAGCCTCCCCTTTTTAGGGGCGGCGACACGCTGGAACTCCTGCTGCTACAGAAAGATCCCACCCTACGACATCTCGTTCCTACCTCAGTCCAGCAACATCAGGACTGCCCCACTCTTCAGGCTACCCCTCTCTCTTCACAGCTTCCCGCCCTCCGAGGCTGCTCCGCGCTCCTCGCGGCCCCCCTCC